CAGGCGTGATGGCTCATGCCTGTAATCCTGACACTTTGGGAGGCCAAGGTGAAAGAACTGCTAGAGCCCAGGAGTTTGAGGACAGCCTGGACAACACAGTGAGACCTCATCTCTACAAAAAATAAAAAAAAATTAGCCAAGTGTGGTGGTGCATGCCTGTGGTCCCAGCCACTTGGGAGGCTGAGGTGGGAGAACTGCTTGAGTCCGGAAGGTCGAGGCTACAGTGAGCCATGATCACACCACTGCACTCCAGCCTGGGCTGGAGCAAGAACCTGTCTCAAACGAAACCAAATCAAACCAAACCAAACCAAACTAAACCAGAGAAAATAAAGCCTCTGAAATGAAATCTTATTGTCTACTATTAATATCTTATATAAATAGCAACGAGGTAACTGTAATAATAATGAAGTCTCTTAACATGCTAAAATAGAGCAGGAGCCATTCACATGGCTAATCATACACAGCAGATAATTAAAAATGAAACTTGGCATTTGGCTCTAGAGTGAACTGCAGCAAATCTGTCCAGAAACTGAGCTTTCCTAAATTATATTTTATTTAGGCAATATAGAAGAATCTCAAAAGCATTATGCTATGTGAAAGAAGCCAGGCACAAAAGACCACATATTGTAGGATTCCATTTATATAAAATCCTGGAAAATGCAAAACTATAGTGATAGACAGTAATTCAGCAGGTTTTAGGGGTTAGAATTGGCTGCCAAGAGGTATGACAGAACTTTCTGGAGCAATGGAATTGTTCTTTATCTTGAACATAGTGGTAGGTGCATGGGTTTATGTATTTATTAAAACTCATCAAATTCCACATTTAAAATTGGTGAAATTTATTCATGCAATCTTCCATAAAGCTGATTCAAAAAATGGGAGTTGGTAGCATTGTCAATTGATTCTAGCTTCTCTAATTTTCTTTAGGCCAAGAACCCAGGAACTAATTTGCATTGATTAGAATAACTCATCAGAGAAGGTTGCTATTTAGAAGATTCCTTGGTATCTGATGTTGACAGAGAATGAAAATTATTTCTCCTTTGAAGTCCTACTGAGAAGATACTGTTCTTAGAAAATTGTTAAGACTGTTATCATTTAAAGTACTCCCAAAAGTCACACTCCAAGGGTGATGCCATTGAACTTTTGGCTTTAATTTCTTGAGATTTTTTTTAGCTTTCTTTAAAAGGAATATAGAAATGATAGTGATCACTTATTGAGCATTAACACTTGGCCAGAATTCTGCTTAATGCTTTACTTCCATTATTTCAATTAATCAGCACAGTACTTCTGTAAAATAGGTACTATACTGTCCTCCCCAGTTTACAGAGGAGAGGGCTGAAACTTAGATTAGACAACTTGTTCAAGAGACAACTGGTACTTGACTTTGGAATGATCTAGTGCCAAAGCCTCTTAAACCACTCTTTACTTCTATCTTAGCTATTCTCAACTGCTCCTGCAGCGTCTTGCTCAGGCTCTAAAACAGATTTTCCCCAAATTGCTGGCTTAAGGTCATCTTGTGTCCACAGCCACACATGCTCACTCTGCGTTTTCTCCAGGATATCGCAAGTCTCAAATGCCTTCACATCTGCACAGATTAAAGTAATCAAATCCATCTACCTGCTGAAAGTCTGCAGAACGTGCCCTGCCGCTTTGAGCAAACAGTGTCTGAGCAAGGAGTTGCTTCAAAAATGAGGAACTGTCTTCTCTGAACTATAGATCGGGAAGAGCAGATTCTGGGAGAGGTCAGGGATTTGGCAGTGATGTGTGACCATGGGATTAGCTGAGGAAGTCCTCAGTAGTAACAGGGCTGTTTTTGTTTGTTTTTGTTATTGTTGTTGTTGATTTTGTGTAACAGGGTGCTTAGTTATGCAAAGGAGAGGTGCAGAGTAGAGGGTGCTGGGGACCAGTACAGCTTTGGCCACCATACATATCTGGTAATGGGAGGTGCTGTGTAGCTACACACCTTGCACACAGTGGTGCTAATGATGGATGGATCTCTGCCAGATAGTAAGGACCCATTTTAACTCTTACGTGTAATCAAAAGATTCTGAGTTTGATTATCTGAGTATAAAACTTCTCAGATGGCTGTTCATCTGCTGTGAGACGCAGAGAATTGTCACTGAGGTGCTACAAATGGACTCTGTGTTCCTTGGTATATCCCTGTGCCCCAAGATAGATGCCAAGTGCATTATGGACCCAGACTCAGAGTACAGACCCAGAGGAAAATTCTTATCCAAGCAGCAGGCTTAGAAAAGGCTTAGATTAGGCTCACTCATACTAATGAGCAAATTCTTAGAAAAGAATCTGACATTCATAGGAAGTGAAAATGAGGCTGTTTGCACCTCCAAGGGGGACCTCAGATGTGAGCTAGAGAGCTCAGCATGGCCAACTGGCTGCATGAGCTCTGCAGAGCTGAGAAGAGTTGCACCAGCTAAGGTATCTTTCACTAATTAATAGACATCCTTAGAGGCCCTCCTTCTCCAAAAGCATTGCTATTTTAGGGGAGAAGTCAAGGGCAGCCTTAGTAGTATAACAGAACAAAACCAGGTGTGGCTGGGAAAGCAGGCAACTTTTACATGGACATTTGTACATCAAGAAGTTCTGACAATAGCTTTGATGACACTACTTATTTTACTTATTGAAGTATTAGACCTTTTTATATATTAAGAATATTAGCACTTCACATTTTTTGCATGAAATTAAATCTCTTTGTTAACAGCAGAAAGGAGATTTACTTATATAAACTCTGTGATCCTTCTGCTAAAAAATAAAAGCCTCCACAAAATTTTTGGTTATTGACACTATTTTAGTTCCCTAGGGATGCGATAACAAAGTGCCACAAACTGGTGGCTTAAAACATTAGAAACGTGTTCTTTGAATTCCAGAGGCTAGAAGTCCAAAATCAAACCACTGGCAGGGCATGCACTCTTGAAGCCTTCTAGGGCGGATCCTTCCTTACTTCTTCCAGCTGCTGGTAGCCCCAGGCGTTCTCTGGCTCATAGATGCATCACTACCTCCATCACATGGTGCTCACTTGGATGTTACTTGGATTGGGGCCACTCTCATAACTTTGCCTTAACTTGATTATATCTGTTATAACTTTATTTGGAAAGAGTTTCCAAATAAGGTTACATTCACAGGCACCAGGATTGAGACTTCAACTTATCATTTTGGGGACACAGTTCAACCCACAACAAACATCCACCCATTATGAAGTACCAGCTACATTAGCATATTAGAAACATGGTAAGGACTGGGATGAGGTCAGTCTTGCTTCATATTTGAATCCCCAGTACTTAGCACAGTATCTGGTAGGTAGTGGGTCCTCAATAAAGATTTTTTTTTTCTTTTGAGACAGGGTCTCACTCTATTGCCCAGGCTGGAGTGCAGTGGCATGATCATACCTCACTCCAGCCTCGACCTCCCAGGCTCAAGCAGTCCTCCCACTTCAGCCTCCTGAGTACCTAGGCCTACAGGCACGCACCACTACTCATGGCTGATTTTGTACTTTTTGTATAGACAGTGTTTCACCATGTTGTTCCCTAGGCTGGTCTTGAACTCGTGGGCTCAAGCAATCTGCCTACCTTGGCCTCCCAAAGTGCTGTGATTACAAGTATGAGCTATCACGCCTGGCCAAGGTGTGTGTTTTATGTTCCCCAGACACCTGTCCTGAAATGAATCTTTGAGAATATGCAGACCAGCACCCAGGCTACAACAAAATTTATTTATCAGAATTATTGGGTTGGATGAAACAGAAAATAAGCCAACAGAACACTTAAAAATACCAATTTATTTTCTTCATATTGTTCAATCTAATTATCGATTTATTTCAAAATCATGAAAAGCAAAGCCTCGCACACCAAATGCTAGGTCAGATTTGCTCTGGAGACTTACTTTCTAGATTATTTTTTGGACTTAACTTAAAAAATTATTAATTTGCATTAATACAGCACTAATAGCCTCCAAATTATACCACAGAATTCCTACATGTAAACTTTTTAAAAACATAATTCATCACCTGAACAAGATATATTTACTACAGTTTTTAAGTCAAGAGTTTTCTCTGGGAGTTGATATATTTTATCTATAACGTCTCCACTTCCCCTTACTTTCATCAAGTATCACTAAAGCCAGCCAAATGCAGTCCTGTGGGGCTTGGTCTACAACATCTGCTTAGGTTTATTTTAGTGGCCATAGTTCCAATCTAAGAGCAATGGGCCACTGTTCTAGGTCCTAATGTACAGCCATAGAGATGAGGTATTTCAATTTGAACAGAAGCAACATTTTGACTCAGGCACTATATTTGTCACTCATGCAGACATGGTAGACCATGTGTGCTAAAATGGGCATCAAAGCCATCATTCAGACGCACAAAGTGCTGGTCTCATGGACCCATGCAGTCACACAGAGCCTCATGCTCGGAAGGGCACTGTGCTTGGTGTGACAACTGCTGTTGTCATCTTGAATTTCTTAATAATTTTTGAATGATGGGCCTGCATTTTCATTTTTCACTAGGCTCTGCAAATTATGTAGCCAGTCCTAGATATACACAAAAGTTGCTTGGCCTGATTCAGCTAACTTGGGATCTATGTTTTCATTTGTCAGTGAAGGCAGAGCTGTGGGTAGTTCCCAGCAGCATGATGATTCTAGTTCTAGAACATTTTCAAAGGTATGGAAGTTGTTGGTCATGTAATTTTCTGGGAACAGTAAAGGAAGGAAGCCCACAAAGATTTTTGTTTACGTGTAAGTCTATAGAGGTAAAATTATACTCTTTGGAATATGGAAGAATCAAGCCCGACTGTGAGATATATATATATATACACACACACCTCTAGGTACTCAGGAAGCTATATATATATATATATATATATATATATATATATATATGTGTATATATATGTGTGTATATATATATATATGTGTGTGTGTGTGTGTGTGTGTGTGTGTCTGTGTGTGTGTGTGTGTGTGTGTGTGTGTGTGTGTGTATAGCCTCCTGAGTACCTGGGACTACAGGCACACAGCACTACATCTGGCTAATTTTTATTTTTTATTTTTTTTATTTTTTTAAGAGATGGTCTCACTGTGTTGCCCCAGCTGATAAGGGTGTTTTTTTTAAAAAAGTGTCCCAGTTGATTCTTCTTTGCAGCCAGGCTTAGGAACCACTGAGATTAACTACAGGTAATTACAGGTGCCATTAAGATAAATATAAATATATTCCTCTCTAATCTATTTTTTGCATCATCAAGAACTTATTTCAGCAATTCAAATAAAAAGAAGAATCTGTACAAGGTCTGAGCTTGGCTATTGCTTATCAGAATAGTGAAAACATTGTCTTCTGAATTAGAAAGCACTCTTCCTGCCTTTCTTCAAAAGAATGGTAGGGAATAGTTGGTCCAGAAGTGCCACAAAATGTCTATCCTCCATTTACAGAGAGGAATAAACATTTCATGATAGGGCATGGTCCTCTGTACAGGTGGGTAGAGTGTGATTTTAAAAGGACAGGTTGCCAAAGAGGAGGAGTTTTTTTCTAGATACCTGTGAGACAGGGAAAAGCTCAAAGGGCAAGGAAGAAGAGTCGCCTAGACCTTCAAAGGCCACACAGGGCTTCCAACTCTGGCTGTGAATTAGAATCACCTAAAGTATCTAGAAAATATTGACATCTGGGCTTCATCCCACAGTAGTTAAATTATAACCTGGGAATGGAACTCAGGGAAGGGTGTTTTTATTTTTATTTTTTGAGACAGGGTCTCACTCTATCACCCAGGCTGGAGTGTAGGAGCATGATCATGACTCACTGCAGCCTCAACCTCCTGGGCTCAAGTAATCCTCCTGCCTCAGCCTCCTGAGTACCTGGGACTACAGGCACACACCACTACACCTGGATAATTTTTTTAAAGAGATGGGGGTCTCACTGTGTTGCGCCAGCTGATAAGGGTGTTTTTAAAAAGTGTCCCTGTTGATTCTTCTTTGCAGCCAGGCTTAGGAACCACTGAGATTTTGCATACATTTAAAAATAAAAAAATCTGGACTACCTCAGAGTCAAACAGGTATCTATTTTGAAAATTTAAAAATTAGGTATATATTTATATCTAATTATACTTAAACATAGACACTGCTAACATAGTTTCTTCTATGTAATGTATTAACTACAGTTAATTACAAAGTATTTTATAAATAATTTAATGGTCTCTCTCTCTAAGGTTGAACAATACCTTCAATAAATAACAAGACATTTAAGAGATGAAAATATTTTTAAAGTAAGATATTTCAATTATTTTTAGGAAATCTGAAGGATGTGTCAAAGTTTAAAAGTCCTTTAAATGGGAAATAGATAAGGCAAGTTAGTGTCTTCCTAACTTGGAATATTTTAAAGATATTAAATATCTTCTTCCATTAAAAAAAATAACTGTTAAGGCCAAAGTTTAAAATTAAGGCATTTGGAAGCTAATTCATATTTTCTAGAATGCTTCCTTTAGTAAGACACTTCTTAAAAAGTCACTAAACATCTTTACAATTAAGTACCTAAGAATCTAATAATTCTTGAGAAGTAATTCTTTTTCAACTAATTTTTGAGTTCTAGGGTAAAGCTGTTCTTGGATATTTCACAAGTCTGTAAAGAGCTATGGGAGCATCACAATTGATGAAAAAGGGAGGCAGGGACAAAGGAAAGGAAGAAATGTACAGGCATAAAAGAGGCCCTGCAGTTACTGCCTGGTGCCATGCTGGAGAAAGCTATACTAATTGTAAGGGATAACTCACTCTTGTGGACAGAACTGACACAAAAGGTCTCATCTCTATTTTTTCATATTCATAACCCTGGAACCAGACCAGCAGAGTAAGGTCAAGGCACAACAGTTGAGATTTCCCGTTATGTTCGTGTGTCTCAGGTGTACACAACAAAAGAATTTAACTGCAAAAGACACTGAAAAGACTAACTTGCCTTCCTAGCTTTTAGCACACCACTAACACCTGCAGACACTAAGGGGATGTTTGGAAGCATCATTTAAGGAATGAAATAAAGGTTACAATGATTACATCTTTCTCTTTAAAGAGCTTGAGGAACAGAAAGATAACCAAAATTGAGAGTAAACCCAGATAAAAATAGATGTCACCAATTATTCCAAAGAATTTCAAGGAGCACTCGACAGTAAGATAGTAAAAATATCAGGGACAATAAGGAAGTCAGTAGTCTGTTTAAACTGAGAATATTCTCCAATGCCACAGACAAATGAGGAAAAACAAACCTGCAAATAACCCTAGTACTGAACATTACTTAACCAAACAATCAGGAATGCCAATATTATTTTTTTCTCCAGGGAAGACTTCAGCTAAGAAAAAAGCTATACTTCTGAAATGCCAGCTTTCACAATGTCTACTGCATTTTCAATCCAAGTTTGATGACTGATATGCTAATTTAAACCATAGGACACGAATTTGTTTTTAATTCTAGCCTAAAGTATTAGGCTGAATGTTTCTCTCCTTGTTTGATGCCAAGAACAAGATGTAGAAACCAATTAAATTGCACAGTCCATCCTTTGTCTCTGCAAACTTCAATCTGATCAAGAAAATACTTTTTAGCATCCTCCTCATTTTTGCCCACTGTGAGAGCATCCCGGATATATTCAATGTCTTCTTTGCTTGTTAACTGGGGCATTCCTGTCATCAGCATCATGGAGAACAGGATGATCAGTAGGTTTGTGTGATGACGAAGGGCTAGATAAGCCTTAACACAGATGTCCTGGATAAAGGAGAAGAGAATACTGTCACAGTTGTTACAGTAACTAACAAGTAGGCTGAAGACCACAGGGATGTACTGAAATGTACATAGCATTACCTGTCCATGAGGAGAAACCATCACAAACAAGGTAGGTCCTTGACTTAGACGAAAAACTTGATGAGAAACTGTTTTTATAATCTCTTCGATACTTTAGTGTAGTTGCATATATCCAGGTAGTGTTCAAGGAAAACTAATTGATACAGACAAGTTTCATCTTATTTCTTACTCTACCTTTTTAATTCTGTTTCTTTCCCAAGAGATTGAGGGTAGAAATTTCTGTAATTTCTGAAGAGCAATGAGTCAGTTTTTGAACATCATACTAGAATCAATAAGCTTTATGTAAGTGTAAATAATGTCTGCCAAGAGCTAATAAAATCCAAAGAATTGAAGGAAATGTGTTTGAGATTTAGTTTTCATCTTTATTTTACACTCTGTTCAATTCTAAGAAAACAGATGAATTAGGTTTTTACTGCCTGATTCTCAAAATTGCTGAATGAATTGAAATTTTAATACAAATTCTGAACACTGAGTGAGAGAGAGGGCTTTAAAAAATGCTATGGCTGATGGCTCCCCAAAAAGCTTTGGAGCAGGTGAGTTAAGTCTGCTTATTAAGCAACAGGTATGATTATGCCATTTAAATTGTTCCAAAGCATAGAAAAAATGCAAGGGTCTCAATTTTTACAACATGAGAATAACCCAACCTTAATACCATAACTTGACAAAGGTAGTATATTAAAGAAAACTAAAGTTAGTGATTACATATATAAATATTTCAAATAATATTGGGTATAATGTTAAAAGAATAATATACCATAGCCAAATAAGGTTTATTACAAAACTGAGAGATTAATTCACCATAAGGTACTGTATTAATATCCATTTTTTATTAAAAAAATATGACTTCATATGTCATTAAAATGTTACAATGTGAAGAATTATCTGAAATTATAAAAATAATTAGACCCAGCAATCCCATTACTGGGTAAATACCCAAGGGATTATAAATCATTCTATTATAAAAACACATGTACACGTATGTTTATTGTGGCACTGTTCACAATAGCAAAGACTTGGAACCAACCCAAATGGCCATCAGTGATAGACTGGATAAAGAAAATGTGGCACATATACACCATGAAATACTATGCAGCCATAAAAAGAGATGAGTTCATGTCCTTTGCAGGGACATGTATGAAACTGGAAACCATCGATCTCGGCAAACTGACAGAAGAACAGAAAAGCAAACACTGCATGTTCTCACTCATAAGTGGGTGTTGAACAGTGAGAACACATGGACACAGGGAGGGAAACATCACATACTGGGGCCTGGGGGTTGGGGGGTTAGGGAGGAATAGTAGGGGTAGGGGAACTGGGGAGGGATAGCATTAGGAGAAATATCTAATGTAGATGATGGGGTGATGGATGCAGCAAACCACCACCATGGCATGTGTGTACCTATGTACCAAACCTGCATGATCTGCACATGTACCCCAGAACTTAAAGTATGATAAAAAACTTCTAAATAATGAAATAACAGAAAACCAAATGAAGCATAAAATCAGAAAAGTGGGCCAGGCATGGTGGCTCACACTTGTAATCTCAGCACTTTGGGAGGCTGAGGCGGGTGGATCACTTGAGGTCAAGAGTTCAAGACCAGCCTGGCCAACATGGTAAAACTCCGTCTCTACTAAAAATACAAAAAATTAGCTGGGCATAGTGGTGTGTTTCTGTAATCCCAGTTACTTGGGAGGCTTAGGCAGGAGAATTGCTTGAACTTGGGAGGTAGAGGTTACAGTGAGCTGAGATCACACCACTGTACTCCAAACTAGGCAACAGAGTGAGACTCCATCTCAAAAAAAAAAATAAATAAAAATAAAATCAGAAAAGTGATGGTAAATTTATTTACAAATGACCTAATTGTCTTGTAACACTGAAGAGAAAAAGTTAAATATTACTGTAACTAGTTTATTAAAAACTAGCTTGTTATAAAAATTAATGAAGAATGCTGTAAATAGGAGCCATAAGTTGGAAAGCAAAATGCAAAAACAGATGCTATAATCAATAGTAACAACAATTACATGATTCCTAGAATAAACACATAAAACATGCAGAACCTATGTTTTTATAATTTTTATAATTTAAATTTATAATTTTTATAGTCTTAAAAATTATAAAACTTTAATCTCTGAAGAGCAATGAGCCAGGTTTTGAACATCATACTGGAATCAATACACTTAAGTCATGAAAAAGAAAACTTGAGTACATGGAGCAAAATAGCATGTCCCTTAGTGACAAGACTGCTTATAATGATAAAAATTATTCTTAATCTATAAACACAATTTCAATATAAATTTCAATGTAAATTCTTATTGGGTGTTTAAACTCAGGTATTGTTTTAAGTTCATCTGAAACAGTTAGGGCCTGAGAGAACATTTTGAAAAAGTATAATAATGAAAACTAGTGCTTGTCAAACCAGACATTAAACCACTGTATAAAACTACATTATTAAAAACAGAGTGAACCATTATCTATTCTTTTCCCAAAAAGACAAGAAATTTTGTGGACCAGAAGTGAAACTTCAGAGACATACCTAAGTATATAAATGTGATATACAATATAGGTGACTTCTCAGATTGGTGGGGAAAAGATCTATTATTTGATAAATGGGACCAGGACAAGTGGCTCATCATTTGGGGGAGAAAATAAAATTCTACTCCATGTGATACAACAAAAATAAATTCCGAATGAATTAAATGTAAAAAGGTAGAATATTTAAATAATCACGGAGTGGGAAGGAACTTTATGAAGATGACTTCCATGGTGGCCTCTATGAGGAAGAGATGGTGAGACTGCAGAAACTTAAAAATTTTGAGGAAAAAAAAGCTATACATAATATTAAAAGAGAATTAATGACAAAAGAAAATGTATTTGTAACATGTCAGATCACTCTTCCAACCTCAGCCCCCTAATAATTCTTAAAAATCAATCAGAAAGAGATAAATGGTTAGCTAGAAATACAGGCCAAAAACATAACAAGAATTCACACTGTAAGACATAAAAACAGATAAACCTATAAAAATATGCAACCTAATTCATATTCAAATAAATGTAAAATGAAATGGAAATATTTACCTACAAACTAGACTTCTTTTTAGTCTTTTAAGACTAATACTCAACGTTCACATTTTATAAGCTGACGGTAGATGGGAATACATATAATGTTACCAGCAGACAATTAGATTAACATGCATCAAAAGCTTTACAGTGCTTATAAATGTTATATAACTTAATTGTGGTGGTGGTGACATGACTGATGTATTTGTCAAAATTCATAGAACTGTACACCTAGAAGCGGTGATTTTATACTTCCAACAAGCTGCAGTCGACTACAGGAGAGAAGGTCAGTCTATCTCCCATGGGCGCCCCCTGTTCCCAATGCTTGACACCAGACAGGAAACCCCTGGCTTAGGCCCACAGCACAGACCCTCCACTCTGGGCTGATTGCACTGAGCCACTGCTGATCTGCATCTCTCTGGGGTGGAGTCTCCAGGCAACAAGCAAATGACCCTTGGCCACAACCACTACCAAAGTTCCTTCCTCTACTGCCTCCAAATTGGGGAAGGAACATAAACACTGAGATTACCTGAGAGCTGCAATGGGCATCCCAAGAGTGTCAAGTCATGATCTAAAGCTAGCACTCAAGCGGGAGAGAAATCCACACTTTCAGAGCACTGAAAAGGAATACAGCTGCAACTATGAGGAAACATTGGTCAGCAAGAGTCTACCAGCTGACCAATAAGCCTAAGTGCCAGCTGCTGGACCATACCCCAAAGCTTCAACACCAAAAATGCATCACTAATATCCTCCCTCTGAAACCACGGACAAGAAGTCAACTTCAAATAAAGAACTTGCACAAAGCCTTGGCCTGATGAAAACATCCAGAAAATAATTCTATTATTAGCTGGGCATGGTGGAATATGCCTGTAATCCCAGCTACTGAGGAAGCCGAGTATTAGAATTGCTTGAACCTAGGAGGCGGAGGCTGCAGTGAGCCAAGATCATGCCACTGCACTCTAGCCTGGGTGACAGAGCAAGACTCTGTCTCAAAGAAAAAAAAAAAAAAAGAATTCTATTGACTGTACTCAATCTATACTGTGGTTAAAGGAGAAACACAAGAACTCTGGTGACTCAAATGGTCAAATTCTCATATGTCCAAACAATCACACCAGTTTTCCAATAAGAGTTCTTAACTAGGCTAAACTGGCTGGAATGACAGACACAGAATTCAGAATATGGAAAGGAACAAAGATCATCGAGATTCAGGAGGATGGCAAAACCTAATCCAAGGAAAGTAAGAATCACAATAAAGTGATGGAGGAACTGAAGGATGAAATAGCTGGTACAAAAAAGAACCTATTGGGTCTCACAGAGCTGAATAACACAATACAAGAATTTCACAATGTAATCACAAGTATTAATAGCAGAATAAACCAAGCTGAGAAAATAATCTCAGAACTTGAAGACTGGTTCTCTGAAATAAGACAGACAAAAATAAAGAAAAAAGAAATGAAAAAAAAAAACCAAAAAACACCTCTGAGAAGTATGGGGTTATGTAAACAGGCCAAATCTACGAATCAGTGCATCCCTGAAAGGGAGCAGGGAGAAAGCAAACAACTTGGAAACATATTTCAGTATATTGTCCATGAAAACTTCCCCAAGCTTGCTAAAGAGGCTGACAGTCAAATTCAGGAAATACAGAGAACTGTAAGATTTTACACAAGAAGATCATCCTCAAGATACATAATCATCAGATTTTCCAAGGTCAAAATGAAAGAAAGAATGTTAAAGGCAGCTAGAGAGAAAGGGCAGGTAACCTACAAGGGAACCCCATCGGGCTAACAGCAGATTTCTCCACTGAAACCCTACAAGCCAGAAGAGATTGGGGGTTTATATTCAATATT